GAGAAAGGAAGGGAAGGAAGGAAAGAAGGAGACAGGATGAAGGAAGGAAGGAGAAAAGGGGAAGGAGAGGGAGGACAATAGGACACGGGAAGGAAGGAAGGAAACAGGGAGGAAGGAAGAAGAAAAGAGGAAGGGAAGGGAAAGAGATTTTAATGCACTTTATTGCAATAAATTCATAAAACCTACTTTTGAATCTGTCCCGCTTCCAAGGAGACAAATTCTTCAAATTTGGACTGTCAATTGATAATTGATTTTTTAAAAATAAGGTTCTTTTTGTTGGCTCTTAAAAAGTGCGTCATTTCTCCGTGAAACGAATAAAAGGCGTAAGATACCTCTAATCCAAGAAGCTCATTTTTCAGTGTTTCCTCTTTTCAAACAATCCTAAATAAATTACTGAAAGCAGGTGCAGAGATCTCAGACAGTTGCAACCCCAAGAGGAAGTGAATTCAAAGTTTCCAGAAAGAACAAATGGATGTATTTATTCCTTCCAGCTAAATACAGAACATGCCGAACTTCTGCGTTACTGTGTGTGTGTGTGTGTTTTTTTTTTAAAACAAATGGAAGAAAAACTTCCCCTTTCTCCTCTGTTTGTCTTACGCTTCCCAGGACTGGCCTATATCTGCGAAGGGCTGAAAGAGCAGCGGAAAGGCCTGGTCACCCTCGTGCTGTGGAATAACCAGCTGACCCACACCGGCATGGCCTACATGGGGATGACGTTGGTGAGCCCAAACCTCTCGCCGCATCTCCTCGGAACGACGCCTTGGATCAGAACCCGAGGAAGAGCTCTTTTTTAATTAAGGGGAGGGAGGGAAGGAATGAAGGGAGGGAGGAAAGGAGGGAGGGAGGGAGGAGGATTTTGAAGAGGGAAGGAAGGAAGGAAGATAGGAAAATGCAGTGATTCAGATGACTTGAAAGATCTTCCCTGAGGGGTCTACAAGCCAAGGACTTTGCTTTCTTGGGGAATGTGTATCTCCTTTGAAGCTGAAACAGGATAACCCACCTTCTGTCCTTCTTCAGCCTCACACCCAGAGTCTTGAGACCCTGAATTTGGGACACAACCCGATCGGCAATGAAGGTGTCCGCAACTTGAAGAACGGGCTCATCAGCAACCGCTCCGTGCTACGGTTGGGCTTAGCTTTGACCAAACTGACCTGCGAAGGTAAGCCGACTTTGCAGCCTTCCCCTGTGATGGTGGAAGCCCTCCCAAACCAGGGAGCAGGGCCTGCATGATCTCTTTTGGTGCCCAGGTGCTGTGGCTGTGGCGGAATTCATTGCGGAGAGTCCTCGCCTGCTTCGGCTGGACCTGCGGGAAAACGAGATCAAGACGGGGGGACTTATGGCCTTGTCCTTGGCTCTGAAGGTCAATCACTCTTTGCTCAGGCTGGACCTTGACCGGGAGCCCAAAAAGGAATCGGTAAGTCAGGGTAGGAAGCCAACTCCCAGTATGAGCAGCTCCCCAAATTCCCCAAAGTTTGGTCTAGTTGTTAAGGCACCAGGTTAGAAAGCAGGAGACCATGAGTTCAAGACCCGCTTTAGGCATGAAGGCTGGCTGGTGTCTATGGACCAGTCACCAGGAGACAGGGAATTCTAGTCCCATATTAGGCACAAAAGCTGGCTGGGTGACCATGGACCAATCACCAGGAGACAGGGAGTTCTAGTCCCATATTAGGCACAAAAGCTGGCTGGGTGACCATGGACCAGTCACTAGGAGACAGGGAATTCTAGTCCCATATTAGGCACAAAAGCTGGCTGGGTGACCATGGACCAGTCACTAGGAGACAGGGAATTCTAGTCCCATATTAGGCACAAAAGCTGGCTGGGTGACCATGGACCAGTCACCAGGAGACGGAGTTCTAGTCCCACCTTAAGCTTGAAAGCTGGCTGGGTGACCATGGACCAGTCACCAGGAGACAGGGAATTCTAGTCCCATATTAGGCACAAAAGCTGGCTGGGTGACCATGGACCAGTCACTAGGAGACAGGGAATTCTAGTCCCATATTAGGCACAAAAGCTGGCTGGGTGACCATGGACCAATCACCAGGAGACAGGGAGTTCTAGTCCCATATTAGTGAGTTCTAGTCCTGCCTTGGGCACGAAAGCCGTCTGGATGACTCTGGATGGAGTTTGCAACCTGCATCCTATCTGGACTCAGACCGATTCCCCCGAAATGCAGGTCCCAAAGGAAAGGGTTTCCTATCGGTGAAGCGCCTCCGTTGAACATCTTAAACGGCACTGATGCACCTTGTTCTGCCTCCTTCCTCTCAACAGGTGAAGAGTTTCCTCGAGACGCAGAAAGCCCTCCTGACCGAGATCCAGAATGGCTGCAAGCGCAACTTTGTCCTGGCCAAAGAGAAGGAAGAGAAGGAGCAGAAACTCCAGCAGTCGGCCTCCATGCCTGAGATCACAATCACGGAACCCCTGGAGGAGGAGGAGGAGGAGGAGGAGGACCAGCAGGCGGGAGAAGAGGACGGGCGGAACGGGGACGTGGTCTCCAGCCTGGAGGAAGTGGAAGAAGCTGCCGAAGCCTTGATACCCCAGGAGAACGGAGCTGCGGAGCAGAGAGCAGCCGGCGGTGTCGGTGACAACAACAACAACCTCTGCGATTCCGACTCAGATACCGAAGAGGAGGAGGAGACCTTGCAAATAAAGACTTCCTCTCCGTTGGGACAGCACCGCCAGCCCAACCACGCTGAAGGACCCTTCGCGGTGGGTTCTCCCGAGAAGAGCCGGGCCACCCTTGGCGCCGAATGCAGGACCTCCCTCTCGAACGCTGCGGAAGAAATCAAATGTGAACCTCGAATAGGAACCGCGAGCAGTGCGCCGCTGCAGGCCCATTCTCCTGGACACGAGAAGCGGATATCGGTTTCCAGTCCCGGCCGAGGGCACAAAATCTTCGTGGTGACGCGGGTGGAGAGCTTGCCGGAGAAGGAGGAGGCAAGGGCAGCCCATCAGAAGGCGGCCCCCGCAGCTCTGCCCGCCCCTCCGTCGAGGCAGGCGGACTCTCGGGGGCCCTATCGACCCGTAAAGACTGAAGGCTCGAAAACAGAGACCAGTGAAACTGTGGCTGGACCCACAGCCAGCTTGGAAAGCCTGCCCCCCACGCCAGGTTCCCATTTGGGCCCCGACAAAATGAACTCTGGGTGCTGTGAGGACGCTGTCCACCTTACTCTGCTTCCTAACGGGGTGAAGACGGAGTTCCTTTGCGTGCTGCCGGACGCCCCTTTAGGATACGATGGGAAAAGAGCCAGCTGTGCTGTGGAACATGGTAAGAAAGCAAGCAGAAAAGCTTGGTTTAACAGCAGAATGAAATGGCCGGGCCAGAGAGGGGCCTGCATTTGATTTATTGCCCTGAGGTTGAGCAATGTGTGTGTGTGGGGGGCCCTCAAGCTCCTTTGGGGTGAAGGCAAGGGTTGTTGATTTTTCAGGCGGGGTGCTGGAGATACGCTCCTGAAAAACCAGGAGGAGGAGGAGGAGGAGGAAGGATTAAAAAGCAGTTGAGTCTAGGTCAAAACATTTAAATCAGGGTGTCCATCCTTGGCGACTTTAAGACCCATAGACTTCAATCCCAGATGGAAGTCTATGGGTCTTAAAGTGGCCAAGGTGGAACATGTGTGATTTAGGTAAAGATAAAGATGTTTCCCTCCTTGCACATACGTCCTAGTTGTTTCCAGCTCTAGGGGGCGCTGGTGCTCATCTCCGTTACAAAGCCGAAGAGCCGGCGCTGTCTGAAGACGTCTCCGTGGTCATGTGGCCGGTATGATTAAACGTTGAAGGCGCACGGAGCGCTGTTCTCTTCCCACCAAGGTGGTCCCTATTTTTCTACTTGCATTTTTAGTGCTTTCAAACTGCAAGGTTAGCAGAAGCTGGGACAAGGAATGGGAGCTCACTCTGTTACGCAGCGCTGGGGATTCGAACCGCCGAACTGCTGACCTTTCCGATCGACAAGCTCAGCGTCTTAGCCACTGAGCCACCGTGTCCCTTTGAGGGGATTCCGGAATTTTAGAGTGTTGTGGTGGCCTAGAGGTGGAGCTCACAATCAGGAGGCTGTGAGTTTGATGCCAGGTAGCGGCAGATATTTCTCTCTCTCTCTGGGCACCATGAGTTATTGTCTGCTGTGAGCTCTGCCTAGGTGGCAGGAAGGGTATCCAGCCAGTAAATGCTCACACTCTATTCAGTCACCTCAGTGCCAGGGATTACAGGGTGGTTAAAAGAAAAGAAAAAAAAGTTCACCTCAGCAAACGCAGTTCTTTCCCATGGATAGGATCATTTTTCTCCTTCCATCATGTCAAAGGTGAGGGTTTGGTAGCCACTTCTGGACAGGTTCCTGGGCTGCAGGGCTTGTGGCTTGGTGGAAGCCCATGACCTCACGGTCAGCCTGATGATGGCTACATGAGGGTCCAGTTGTCCATTTCTGTTTTTCAGAGTTGAACTGTTCCAAAAACGAGAAGGAGCTGGAGGAGTTACTCTTGGAAGCCAGCCTAGAGATGGGACAGGAACCAATGTGACACTTTAGGTAAGGGACAGTCCCCCCCCCCCCCTTGCCAGGAGCGTTTTCAGCTAAAATCAAGTTCCCAGAAAGAAAAATCAAGGTGTGCTTTAAAGGCAGAGCTGTTTGGCCACCAGCTGGATTGGTTTTCTTAAGACATGTGTGGTTGGTTGTTTGCTTGCAGACGTCTCATGACCCCACTAGGTCCCATCATCAGTGCGAGAAGGGGGTGGGGTTTAATCTTTTTT